GCTAGTCATCATTTGGTATGTTGTAGCAACGTGAGAATGTTGCTCGTACAATTTGTATAAAATAATACATACATACATACATATATCAAGTTAAAGATTAGCAATTTACAAGCGCCAATATACATAGATAAATATACTTGTATGTATGTAAACAGGCGATTTATATTGATTTGAGGAGTTGTGGGTGAACCGCACAACAAAAATGTTTAAATGCATTTTATTTACGTTTTCTTTCGAAACCACAAAACGGCTAACCGCTGTACCGATTTTCGGTTAAGCTCCTCCTCCGAATTGGGATGTGTGTATTGCTGGTTTTCCAATAAATGGAGGGATCTGCAGTTTATATTAAGTCACTTCCGAACAGCTGGAATGGGCAGCTTTCTTTTCATGTCCGAAATAAACTCGACGGGGTTGGGGGTTGACACTCCCTGACGAGAGGCGACCGCATTTAGAAAAATCAACTTTATTTTCTGTTTAAATTAAACTTCCATATATAAGGAAGTGTATTTTGAGCTGAAGACCTTTAAATAAAAGTAAAAACTTCAGTTTCCTTTTTTTGCAAAAAAAAAAAAGAAAAAAAAATCAAACCAATATTTCTATCATTTTTAGATGCTGACCTGACCCGACTCCTACTATAATCCTTGGAACGGCATTACGCAATTCTAACCACTGGGCTACCGCTACTACCTTGTATATTTGTACATACATAAATGAAAAGAATGAAAAGTTCTCACCGCTCGCACCATGCCATCTCAAAAAAATGAGCCCTCACTGTCCACGATCCGATCATTCAGCCATCATCGATTTCTTCGTAATACCCGAACCGATAAACCTCCAATCGTTTCGCATCGCTTAAAGAAGGCAGTACTTGGAAGGAGCCATGTTTGGAGAATACGGCTTAAAACCTTCCGATTTCAGCGTTTCCAGCTAATTTTTGACCGTTATAACTACGTGCGCTGTGGACAGCAACGAAGAGCGACTTGTAGAGTTTGATCTTCGTTCGTCGATAGAGGACTTTACTTTTCAAATGTCTACTCATTTCAAAGTAGCTGACATTGTTGTTTTGATGTTAATACTGGCTCCAAGATGGACGAGTTATTTGCGACTTCTAAGTGGCAGACATGGCAGCCGAGTTGTGAATGCGTTGACTGTTTGTTTGATAGCAGGAGATATTTCATCTTATCCTCGTTCACTACCGGACCAGATTTCGGAAAGCAGAACTCACGGCACGTTTGTTGAGGCTAATGGTGTCAATAGCATGGGCTTACGCCAGCAGTTGCACCTTCTATATTCAGCTCTACAGCTTTGCCATAAAGTTCAAGTATATTTAGTTGGAAATTTGTTGACTAAAAATATAAATTTGTTTAAAAGTATGCATCCATACTTGCAGCTGGCTAGGCAGGATCTAAAATAATTTAAAATAATCTCACTTATTGTGTTTGGAAATGCATATTGACTGTGTATTTAATGTAAATATCTATATACATATATTTATTTTTATACAAAATTTATTTGTGTCGATTTTCCAGGCAATTTTCTATGGGGCAGAAATAGACTCATGTAAAGGCTGTTTAACACGGTGGGACGCAGGGAAATTTTAATTTATTTTAAAAACTTTCTCTTCTAGGTCGATTCGATGCATAAGTGTGTTTATACATTTATATATATATATATTTATAGGTTGATTTGCTAATAATAAAAAGTTTCGCCTCAGATTTAAACACCATTTCATTCATTAGCATTTAACAACCCATTAATAGCGGTACCTACAAATTAATTGAACGTTTTAACGCCGCTTTACTTTAGCTAATTACTTGTCACCTCAATTTTATTGCATATTCAATAACTCGGTTGCACAATTTTGCTGCGGGCAATGGACTTTTATCATGGCTAATGATTTGCATTTAATCATATGGCAGTGTAGCGTCCAAACGAGACTGAAAAAGATGCAGGAAGGCGCACCTTAGATTGTATTCAAATTTCTTTAAACCGTTTTTGGCGCCTTACCACAGTGGTTATATTAATATATGCCACTATATGTATGTATGCATGTATGCATGTTTCATATGCTTAGTGGGTGTGTTTATTCGTCGCGCTGGCATGTGCCAATATTCAGTGTGAACAACATAAAGAATTAAAGTTGTCTCATGCGCATACGTATGTACATATGTACTCATACTCGTATGTAAGCGTTGCAAAATTATACATTAAGTTTTCTTACACTGATTTGCATTTTTATTTACTTCTTGGCGTCCATTGTTAATTTATTGTTGTCACATTGAAAAATTAGTAAATAATACGTAATCAGCTATTCGTGGCTTTGCGCCATTTAATTGGTCCATACTGTGAGCTCGTATCGTTGTTTTTGCCATGCGTTGACGTTCTTAATGTTTATGTTGAGTTTGGGTTTGAGTTTGAGCTTTGCAATTCATTATCACATTAAATGGTGGCGTTACTCAGCACCTTACACAATTTATTGTTGATTCTTGTAAAATATTGTCGCAATATTTGCATACCAGCAAGGTGTTTATATAATGCATATTTATGTGTGTAGTGAAGTTTTTAAATACTTCATGAAAATTATGCGATACCGACGACAGTTGATTGCCAATTAAAATAAAATTTAATTAAGAATGTTTGAGTGATAAATTAATTGTGGAAAATAACCAGAAATCATTGATATTAAAGCTGATCCGTCGAACTTCTTTTCGATTAACACTTAATGAGTGGGTAAATTTAGGACTTTAAAATTTATTTCAACTGTTGTTGTTACTTTATGTGCTGTGTTCATTTTAGATTTATACAGAGTTATCCATTTAGGGGTTTTGAAAGTTTGAACCATGAAATTTAATTTTATTTTATGTGAAACAACAACATTCAAATGACTGACTCGTGAATTTTTGCAATCTTCGTTTGAGTCATTTGGACAGATCACGCGTGAGTCAAGTTGTCATTTGTTTTTTTTTTGTTCAGTATTGCTTAACATTTTATCATGGAAAGACATTAACAAATTGTTAAACTTTATTACAAAAATTCACGCTCTCTTAAGAATGTGTTTCGCACGATCCGCTCAACTTATGTTCGATATAATCGGCCTACTGAGCGTACTATTCGCTCTTGAGATCCACCATTCATTATTGCATAATATCCGACCGAATAAACCACGTCCAGCACGCAGTAAAGAAAATATATCGGCCGTGCATGAGGATGTACACGAAGACCATGGGGAGTCGATTCGGTGCCGTTCGCAGCAACTCCGTACCGACGTACGGAGCGACTTGCCACATACTACGTCGATATCTTAAATTGAAAGCGTACAAAATACGGCTTGTGCAAGAACTGAAGACGCTCGACTTGCAGAAGTGTAATGCGTTCGCTCTTTAAAAGTTCCGTCACTTCCAACACATCGCAGCAACCAATGGATTTACTGAGAGATCGGCTTGAGAGATCGATTGACCATCATGATCGTGTGATATCAAACCGTTAGATTTTTTCCTGTGGGTATTATGTAAAGCCACGCATGTCATTCAGCAGTAACCAGTTGAAATCTTCAAAAAATAAATGCCAAATAATGTTCTCTCGAATGATAAATAACATTTCCCATCAAATTTGAATCTTCTGTGTTTTTTCTTTAAAAATGTAGGGAAAATCAAAATGGATCATACTATAGCTGTGTGTATGTGTTGCGCTTTTCAAAGAACTGTTACTAAGTTACTTTTCAATTACCTACTCAGTCCAAAGTAGCATCTGTTGGGAAGAGTGATTCTGCGTTGGATTTCCAGTCCGACGTTGTTGTTGATTTTAATATTGCCCGCAAGATAGACGAAGATATCTACAACTTCAAAGTTATGCCAGTGACGTGGGAATCGAGTCGCGAATGCGATGGCTGTTTGTTTGATGACAGGAGGTATTTCGTCTTGGCCTCGCTCACTACCCGACCCATAGCCGTCGCGTACGCCAGCAGTTGTACTCTTATAGAAGATTGTAATTTCCCTTTTCAGCTCTGCAGCTCTTATTATTCTCTCCAGCAATAAATTAAAGAAGTCACACCTTTAAGGAATCACCCTGTCAAAAACCCCGTTTGGTATCGAACTGCTCGGAGAGGTCTTTCCCGTTCCTGACGAAGCTTTTAATGTTGTTCAAGGCCAGTTTACACAGCGGAAATACCAAAGTCAGACATAGCGGTGCAAAGGCAGCTCATTTTAGTGCTCTCGAAGGAAAAATCGACGATGAGGTGGTGTGTGTCGAATGTCTTTTCATGGGTCTTTTCCAAGATTTGACGCATGGTGAATACCTGGTCAATGGTTGACTTAGCAGGTCAAAAGCCACACTGAAGCGGGTCAAACAGTTTTTTGACGGTGGGCTTTAGTCTTTCACACAAAGCACTTGACAGGACCTTATATGGGATGTTAAGAAGTATTTGAATAGCTCGGCCGATAATTCATCGGTCCCCGCAGTTTCCTTGATTTTTAGCGGGCGATTGCTATTTGGATTTCTTCTAGATTAAGACCACAAAGTTCCGCGTAAGTAAAATATTATTGATCACCAATTTATTTGCCTCCAAACGAGTTACACATCGTAATTTTGGTCGGTTCATGTTTCGAAACATGATTACGATAGACCTTTAGCCCTAACTTGTGTAGTTGAGGTTAAATTCCATTTGATAAAAGGATGATTCACCTTTACTACAAAATCAAGTGAATAGAATCCACCTTCGTACATAAATTCAAGCCCACCGAAGAGTACATCAATATTTCTAATACATCGGTATCTGGTTCACTTTCCGGAAAGAAAAGAATTTCAAGCAAACCGAGCTCGCACAAAATTGAGCCAAAATGTTACTTTAAAATCAGTTGTGTTTCGTCATTTAAAAGTTTCAATGCTTACTCACATGACCTTAAGACCATTTTAAAACTTAAATTGTTTTTGGTTTATCTTTTCTCACATGGAGTCATTTATTTGCTCGTTAATAAAAATAATAAAAAAATAAAATTTTTTAACTCTTTTCCAATGCGGTTAAACACTTTACTCATAATCCAAAAGATCATGTTTGCTCTGACGCTTCCAATTTAATGGAAACAAGCGCTTCCAAACATCATAGCGGCGCATATTGAGACCCTCACGTAGCACAATTTCTTCGCCAATATCCAAATAATGTTGACGTTTGAAGCTAAAAGCACGCCAACGTATGTCGCGCAGTTTGTCATCACTCTGCTTATTGGGATCACTAATAAGCGAGTAAAGAGTAAGGAGAGAATAAGTATATTTAGCATTCTTAGATCACTCTTTAGTTAGTTTAGTTACTAACCCCTTGTAAGCGAAGGCTGTGAACATTCTTGTTAGCTTATCGACAATTTTGTACTCCGGATCATCCTCGGTGAACATGCGACTAACAGATGGTTCCACAAAGAGATACATAAGATCATCATGATGGACAACACCTACGGAAAATATGAAAAAAAAATTAAAAAAATAAGAAAAACTATTTTAAAATTTGCATGCAACCATAAGGTTTATTTGTCGGATAGTAAATATGGCTGCGCTGTCCTTGATAGCTGAAGCGATAGTAATAGACTTTGGTTGAACGCGCCGCCAAATGTACGAAACGATGTACGCCAAACCCCGTTAGGGCATCAGAGTAGAGCTAGTAAAACATATGATTATTATAAAAAAACAATACCACATAACCTCACTTCACATACCTCTACCATGGGCTGTAGTGTGCCGGCATATTCCAACGATTCTTTACCAAAGTAAGCATTCTTCAATTCGATACTAATATTTTGCGAGCGTGGACTTTCAGCGCTGTAGAGGAAACAAATTGGCGCTATTTGTTCGAAATTGTGTGCCATGGTCTTTAGAAGGCGTGGATTCTCCAAAATACCTGGAAAATGTTAAGCGCTTAAACTGACCTTCTGTTTTTTTTTTACAATAAATTCTCTTACTGATGGCCTGACCAGCAAACTCGTCCTTTGTCATGCCCGTTATTATGGGGATTTTCATGAAGTTACCATTTTGAAAAGATCGCACTGGATCTTCTACGAGAAAGCGTTCCTGGCCATAGTCCGGTTCGATAACAGGTTTCCACAGTATCAACGGGTTGTTCCGTCCAAACTCGAACATGTGCGGCAAAGTGTTGGCGTATTCGAGGTAATGTTTCTGTAAGTAATAAAATTGAAAAATTTTTCAAACAAAAAGTTTTATTCAAATGCACCGAATTCAAGCAGCTCATCATATCCGTTAAATTTTCCGTTGTACAATGCAGTAAAGCTGCTTGACGCACAGCCAAACCCAATTGTTCTACCGGCAACAACCATTGGCCCGTCACAGAACCACTCATAACGATTGCTTTATGAAAGAGATTTCGCGACATTGGCGAAACCATGTGCAGTGTAATACTTATTGCGCCCGCACCGTAACCGAGCAAAGTCACAGAGTTCGGATCACCACCAAAACGCGATATATGCAGTTTAACCCAACGCATAAGCATCACCTGATCTTTCAAGCCCATATTACCCAACGCGTCTTCAGTGCCCGTACTCATAAAGCCCAGCGAACCGAGGCGATAGTTGAATGTAACTAATAAAATATTGCGATCCATGAAATATTGTGGACCTGCAAAATTCTTGCTTTGTCCGGAGAGCGCATAAAATCCACCCGGGTGTATGAAAACAATAACTGGCTTCTTCACGTTGGGATCCTTCTCAGTGGGCAAATCACGCGTGTATATGTTGACACGCAAACAGTCCTCCGCAACATCGTCACTGTAGAGACCCGGCTGTGGACAGCGAGGTCCATCGAAAGTTGCATCGAAAATATCAAACCACTGATCTACTGGTTCGGGTGGCTTGAAGCGTAGTGCACCAACAGGTGGTTTGGCATAGGGTATGCCACGGAAAGCATAAAAATTACGTCCAATTTGCGAGGGCAATAATGTACCGCGTATTTTGCCTAATGCTGTGGTCAATACCATATCCGATAACTCCCTATCCAGCCCCTCTGCTGTGTTATTATCTTCACCGATGGCGGTGCTAGCACATGCCAACAGCGCGAGTGTGCAAAGCACTGCCACACGTCGCCTGCAACACGAAATCCACATTGCAACACGGAGAAAGGATCCACAAAACTGATGCAAATCGTAGCATGTGTGCGCATTTTATAGGCGCCCGCCAGTGGCCAGTAGGCATTTGATTTCTTCGTTGCACATGCAAATTGATTATCATTGCCAAGTGCGTGGGTGAAATTTTACAAATGATCTTCACAATCAAGGGTATGAATGTGCGATGACCACACACAAGACATGCGCCTTGGTCACGGTTGCAAGCGTTCCTATGGCCTGTCTAATTGCATTAGCAAATGCTGTGTGTCGCGAATGCGGCATTGCAAGCGCAGATAATTGTGGTCTCCAGCACGTTGGTATTGGAGCCGCGAATTGGCGGTGATAGGCGATCAATGTTGAATGAATGAAATCCCAAACATGTGAAGGGGGAGCTAGCAGAGAAAGGCCAAATTGATATTCTACTTGGTAAAGATTGTTAAAAAGGTAAAAAGTATAGGTAGGTTAAGTAGAACAGTAAATTACGTTCATTCTGAAAAATAGTAAAATAGTGAAAACAAATTTCTATAATTTTTTGTGTCGGTCAGCAGGAATTGAAACTAAACCATTTGAATGGAAGTACGAAATGCTAACTACTCGGCTACTGTAGCCCTGGATATACAGGCTTCAGAATCTTTTTTGGAGGCTGCAAGAATATTATGATAAATTTATGTCCTGCGCAACCAAATCCTGTCCTGTCGGTTAAAGAAGACAACACCTTGAGACATTTCTGAAAGAATTTCGCACGCCAACGCATGTCTTACTGTCTGGCTTGTAAGTACGTCCAGAGCACATTCTCGCACTCTATGAAAGTAGAAACACTAAATTTTGTATGCGGAAAATATTGTAAGAGAGTGACATCAAAATAGTTTTCTGCAAGGTGAGACAAAAGAGGCATATATACATAACTACAGTCGAGGTTATAAATAAATATATACAATTATCTATTTTCAAATGTAATTTGAGAAGAAAGATTCTAGGAGCGAAATGGGAATTTGACGACATTCCCGGAGGTACGCCGAAGTCGTGATGTAAACCGATAGTTCGATATTTTTTTCTCTGTGGCGGCACTTTTATGCTTTTCATCATTTTTGCTTACAGCATGCACAACCTAGTAACGTAACACAGGCGGAGTATTGAGGATTCTTCACAACCATTTTCGGCTTGATACATTCCTTTTGGGTTTTGATTTCATGGATCTCTCCAAAGTTGCCGACGTATTAACGTGAGTTTGTAATTGGAGGCACCTACTATTAACGTTTTGGCCGGGTGAAACAAAGTCTTTGTGGACAATGCTCTTGGCATCATAAAAACAAATCAGCATTGTCTTCACTTTTGACTTCTCCTGGCGCGATTTTTTGGGTCTCGGCTCATCCGGCGCCTTCTATTCAGCACTCTGGCGTTTCGTTTCGGGATCATATAGAAAACACCAAGTTTCGTCACCAGTCACAATCTTGTAAACGAAATTCGGGTATTATTTTGCCTCTTTAATGATGTCCTGCGAATGTTGAATTCTGAGCAATTTTTCGTCGTCAGCTCATTTTCGCGTCGATGACAAAAACGTACTGACACTTAAAACACAATAACTTCACTTCCAATGGATGAAATGTCATAAAATTTTTACTGGAAGTCGATAAAGGATATCAGATTCTAACGCGCAGATGGCGCCACTAGAGGACGCTAGCTTTAAAAAGCTCTGTTTACTTTGGAACGCACCTTGTATATGGCTTTTTACCTATGACGATAGGCTGATGGCCTCCATTGCTAGTTGTCCTTATATTGTAATGTAATTATTTATAATTATATTTCGAATAAATAAATATTTTATTTTTTTATTTATTCGAAATATAATATCCCAATGCATGGAGAAATTTTTTCCGGACCGATCCGACAGAAACATATTTATGGTTCGATTTGATAGAAATTTAAAACATAGAAAGTTCTTTACCTAGGATAACATGTTTAATATTTATATTTCTTTTTCAGACGTTTTAATATAATAGCTTATAAAATAAAAAAACCGTTAAAACCGAATAAAAATCGTATTGAAATCTCATGCGGGACAAGGCTAATATTTAAAACAAAGCTAAATCCTTGGCCCTTACATTAAATTATAAGCGTTTTACTTCTTTTTGAAAATTCACAAGTCTAAAAAAACACTCTTTGAAACGGCAAATTTATTGAATCGAAACAAGAACTTAGCGAATCTAAAAAAAGTCAAAGAAGTGAGGCGTTGAAGTTTAACTAAAAATTTCCACCTTTTTGATGTTTCTATTTTTTTTTTTCTTTTCTGATATGAGTTTTTATGATTTTCTGTTGTTTTTTAACTACCCCGCAGTAGCGGCATAATCGGGTTAATCAAAAGGATAACTGAGCTACACGTTTTTAGCACACCAATTTAGTGTGAAATCTGACAAATCAAGTCAGGTAATTTATGTGTCCATTGTACGCGTCTCAAAGAGGATAAAAAGCATAATAAGATTAAGAATAAATGATGAGATGGACATAATTATAAGGAATTAAGAGCGGAAACAACATTTTTGCCTTAAAAAGCTGTGCAAAATATAAAGTTTTGCTGAAAAAAGAACATGAATACCGTGACCCTTTCTTAAAATAAGTTAAAAAAATACCATTTGCGCTCGTCAACATTTATAAAATACAACAATGGAATTGTCTGTCTTCTAATTGGTTGTACATATGAAACATATAAATCTCAGCGCTAAGGAACAATGTATTTATACGAGTATGTGTGTGTTTGGAAGTGGGTAGCATTAGCACATTAATTCCAAGAAACCACAAATGTTCATCTGCAAATTCAAAGTTCTTTGTCTAATTATTAGCTTGCGCCAACAATGGGTCTTAGGGCTCTTCAAGGCTACAGTGGGCTACTGCCTTAAATTTAATTGGAATATTGTACAATTTAATATTCTGTGTTTGAATTTTTATGTCTAAACTCTCTGTGTTGGCCCATTGAGCTGGGAAAAGCCTGTGGCGCTCTTTAAGTGTTTAAGCTAAAAAGTGGCTTCAGATACTTTGGATAAATTTGTCCGCCACGAGTACTCTAATTTAGCCCATTGGATCGCTACCAAGAATTATATCATTACTACTACAGGATTGTCCACTTTGCGGTTTCGAAAAAACAAAATAAATTGTTCCATTTTTTTGTTGTAAAACTAATACACATCATTCAAACGACTTCAATCCGTTTGAGCTAATTATCGACCCCTTTTGGCACATATTGCGCAGTATCTCAGCCAATTATTAAAGGTTTGTTTACATAAACACGGTATTTTAGGTAGCCACACAAAATCATTTTTAATAAAAGAAATCTCTTGTTTATCTCTTAAAATATGTCAAAAACATTTTGATTTTTGTATTTGCAAAAAATCTTTTTTTTTGTCATGCAACTGTGTCAAATCGCACGATCTCGGTTGCCAATTGACATCGTCAAGTAGGAAAATTCCACGGTTTGGAAATTTCTCTCACGAGAGCATACATCGTGTTGTGTGGCATGTGGCACCATATTATTCGAACCACATATTGTCCAAGTCGTGCTCTTCAGTTGCAGGCCAAAAAAAAAGTAAGATCCAAGCGCCCCGAGCGAGAAATTTGTCGCTGAAGAAAATTTTGTTCGAAAAATCACCGTCCATTGGTTATTGTTCAAGAACACAATGGGCGTATGTACGACATTGTGTATGGTCAGTTTATGTGTGAGCTGAACTTAATATATATATTTATATGTAAGTCCCAGTGTGATATACGCCGTAAAGTGATGTAAGAAAGTTGAAGCTCTTGAGAAAGTTTAAAAATAGACATTATTTGGGCCTTCGGCAGCACTTTCATTTACAAGAGCTATTTTGAGGTAGAACCGGCAAAACGATGATGCAAAGGCCTTACAATATCTGTAACCGAGCCAGTCTTTTCAATTTTTTTTTTTTTAATTTTATTAATTTTTTGAGTAGTTAAGATGATTTTGTGTACCAAACTCCTCTTGAAACACGATTTTTCTTGAGGATTTCAACAAAGGCGAGAGCAATAGACGCGTATTTGGAATTGCGTACTGTCACTCGTAAGATCAGGTTTTGAGTCCAGAACCGATTAACAACTGAAAATTATAGAAATTTTATTTAATAATTTTTTTTTTTTACATAAATTTTTTTTTTTTTTTTACCTTCCGATATGACCTTTGTTAAATTTCGGTCAGTTCACTGTCTTTTCCATTTCCCAGATATACAGACAAATTGAAGAAATAATATTTGAACAATTTTTTTTCTGTTGCATTTAAGTGATTTGCTTTCAACGTTCACTGTACGAAAATGATTATGTCTGTGTAAGTGACGTACTTTGTAGTGCAAACAAGACAAATGATCAGCGATATTTATATGTAAAAAAAATTGATGACGATGATTATTTTATTTATTTCATTCTTCCTTTTTTTTGCTTTTTTTCAAGCGATTTGCAAAAAAGCACAACGATTCCTCATGAACGCGCACTGTCTGCGCAGGATAATTGTAGTACTGAGAAGGTGTGACGTGATTGCCGAGTGTTGAATGCAACAGCCAAGACGATTGTTTGTGATTATCCTTCAGTGACTTTAGGCATTCTGCCGTCATGTGTTGTGGCGTGTAAATTGCTTGCTCTTATCATATGAAAAATTACGCACATGTCGTAAAAAACATAGCTATTATTATTTTATACTCTCATTTGTTGTTGTTATTGTTGGTGCTTTTGATGGTGTATGCTGAATGCGCGATTAAATCCACGAGCTTGCGTTTCACGAGGATAATCATTAAATATTTGACAAATTGCTTGTCGTTTTGCGCTGTATTTTGCTCTTTTGCGTTGTTGCAGATGTTGTTGTTGTTGAATTTGTGGAGAACGGCATATCAATGTGAAAAATTTAATCATTTATTGCAGTTTTTTCTTGATTTATTTTGTTTTTCTTTTTTTTTTTGACTACACGCATGCGCTTTATAATTATAGCTGTCAAGGCAGGTGTTGCA